CTCCCGACGCAGCGGGCAGGGCTGCGGCGCCCGCGTTGCTGCCCACGGGAGGGCCGCCCGGGGTTCCCTGCGGTTAGAAGTTATCAGCGGTTAAGAGGCCACCCTTTAGCACACCAGTACATCTCTGTGGCAGTTCCAGCAGCTGCAGCAAAGACATCAGCACCGCCTGGGTTCACGAGCTGCCTTCCACACTGCCGTCACTACAGAAAATGCGCCTATAACACCCGCTCTAATCCAAGGAAAAGCAAAGCCTGGGAAGCAGCGTATCCCACAGCCACTGCTGGGTTTCCAGGCTCTGACAGTCCCAGGGACACGCTCAATGGCAGGACTTGCTCTATGGCAGCAAGGGCACCCGGGCACAAGGACAGCGCCCCGCGAAGGGGAGAGCCCCACAGAGCAGAGGCTTCTCCAACAAGTCCCTCTCTTTGCAGCAACACAGGAAAGCTCTGCAGAGTATTGCGAGAGAATTCCACTAGATAATTCAATCTGGCAGCAGTTCGGAGCACACGCCGACTTCTTACATTTTACACATTCTAAGCTCCCAATTGTGAAAGCAGCTTTACACAGACAACAGGCCAAACCACCAAGCAACCTCCGCAGCTTCTAGCTCAAACAGCCCCCCTTTCATTCCTCACAGTATCTGAAGGTTTTCGTATGGCCACTGGGTATTTCCCACGCAACTTAACTCCTCTTTGCTCTAAGCTTATGAATAGCAATGACAAGCAGCAACTGCAAGTGGGAACATGTAGCTCATTAATCAATTCACATTTTTAAGAACAACACAGGAAAACAGAAGTCTGGAAATCACTACTTTAAAACGTCTCCTTTTGAGTTGGGCACGTTGGCAAAAGGCATTTTACTCATTTTACCCATTTTGCCAAAAGGCAACAGGACGAAGCAGACGTCTCCGCTGAGCCCTTCACACTCTGCACCCACCAACACGGTTTTGCGGCTCCTTGAACGACCATCTCTCCCACTGGAAGTTGCCAATACTCCTTTCCCTGATGTAACAACTCCTCCTATGAGCAGCTGCTGCAGGAGGAGGTCGCATACACGGAGGCTGCTTCAAGCTGTCTTGGAGGCGCAGGTGGTCTGACCCCCTGAGCACAGCAGCGTGTTTTGGGCACTGCAGAAACGCCGTTCAGCCTCAAAGAGGAGATGGCAAAACAGGAGAATTGGGCACAAAAGGGGAAGTAAAACCTACCAAAGGAATAGTCTAAAAATTCTCAGAGAGACTGAAAAGATTAGTGTGGGGAGGGGGCAACAACATGCTGAGACAGCGACTGCTGGAGAATGAAACCGCAGAATAAACTGGTGCTCTGCAGTACCTGAAATATTTATTTTTTCCTCTCTGATGTTGGAATTCTCATCTTCTGGGATATATCAAGAGCCTGAGGTCCACTTACTACACACTGCTGAGTGAGGAATAAAGTCATTCTTAGAGCTTAGATCAGGTTTTGAAGGGGAAAAACCTACTGTGCCTTACTTCTAGAATTGAAGAAAACCCTTAGTGACAATACTGAAGAAAATTTTCGGTGCTCCATTATCATCTGGAACATCTCATTCCTACAAAAACCGACTTACAGCATAATAAATTAATATTTAAAAACTGCAAACTCAAACCAACCCATATCCTCATGAACACTCCTGCTGCACGTGGCGAGGAGGAGAGCGAGGACGGTTAAGAGAAACTCCTGAGCACCAATTTAGCCAAGTACCCGCTACTGGTTCGGGGTTGCTGAGGGGTGTCCTGTACCCAAGGTGCTAGCGGGCTCCTCACCTGCAGCTGCTTCCCCTCCTGCTGCGGGCCCGCGTAGGCGGCGTGCTGAGACGGCGGCGGTGGCGGCGGCGGCGGGGGCAGTCCCTGAGACAGGTTTGTGGGAGCAGCCACCTGCAGGAGGGGCATTCCGGAGTGCAGGTGCAAAGGCATCGGCGGGGGGATGCTGAAGGGGCCGCGCTGCATGTTCATCAGGGGCGGGTGGACACCCACGGGGTACGGGAAGAGATTCATGGGCTGGTGCTGCGCGGTCACCGGAGGCACCGCGTTCACCGGGGGCACCACGTTCACCTGCTGCTGCATCATGTTCAGCGGTACCTGGGACCCGTCACTTTGCTGGTTGCCTTGGTCTTTGAGGTTTGGATCTAGCAAAAGAAAAACAGACAGCATGAAGTACAAAACTCTGCATTTTACAGGATCTGATAAAGCACAAGTGGAACCAGGTGTCCAAACTCTTCATGAAGTACAGAGCACCAAAAACGCCCATCTATAAGCTGATCTATTCCTAACCTGAACCTATAGCCTGCTTCTTTCCAAATCATCCTTACTTAGAGGTGCCAACCCAGCGTATTTTACCCAGATTTGAGAAAATAGTATACTATTCTCACCCCAAATTCATGTTTCAAAAATAAATACAATAGTGCAGTGGTTCCCAAACAACGTGGCATGGAGCCTGCAAGTCACAGACAGTGCTTTCAATTAACGGCTTGATAAATGTTGCTTCCAGGGCTTGATAAATGTTGCCTCCAGGGAGGCGGTGAGGAGGATGGTGCTGGCCTCTTTTCACTGGTGGCCACTGACAGAACTAGAGGTCATGGCCACAAACTGAAGCACCAAAAGTTCCACAGGAACTTAGGGAAAAATTTTTTTAACAGTGAGGGTGACAGAGCCCTGGAACAGGCTGCCCAGAGAGGTTGTGGAGTCTCCTTCTCTGGAGATCTTCAAAACCCGCTTGGATGCCACCCTGTGCCACGTGCTCTAGGTGACCCTGCGTGTGCAGGGGGCTTGGACTAGATGATCTCTAGAGGTCCCTTCCAACCTCAACCATTCTGTGAGTCTGTGATACAACCAATTGAGGGTTGCCAAGGCTGCCTCAAAACTGAGAGGCTGCTGATGCATCTCTGAACAGAGGAGGAAAACTGCCCATGTTTAAGATGAAAACAAAAAAAGAAGAATAAACAGGAAGACAGTGAGAAAGTGCAAGAGTGGTCTTCAGAAATGGATTTTATGGTTCTTTTAATTTATAATTCACAAAATGCTATTTATTTCAAAGCATTAATAGGTAATTTCTTAGTTCTTCAGCATCAGCCTAATCTGGAGTTAAGGCACTTTCTACCAAAAACTTTATTCCAATCAGGACACTTAGCTTACAAATAGAAAGTACAAAACTTCCATTGGGACTTCAGAGATTTTTTTTATGCTCAAATAAGGCTAACACTTTTATATTTATACGCTTTCTTTTATTCTTCTGAGCACTTAAGGAGGCAAATGCCTATTTTAAAGCAAGATAAAAGTCAACATGATGATTTATCTCTATACTCTACTGTGCAAGTCTTCACAGAGGCAAATCTTGAAAAATCTACCTTTTCTCAAAAGGTGGGCAGATGCTAAAAGGAACCATGACAAGGATTTCAGTACTTCCTCTGCAAATCAATCCATTTCCTTCAGTAATGCCCTTCAGATGCACTGTCAGTAGACTATGACATCCATCTTGGGATTTAAAGCAAAAACAAAAGCCACCTTTTTGAAAAAAAACTACCAAAAACCACCAAGGGTGCACACCTAAAAATTTTATGTCAGAAAAAGACTAGGGATTCACCCTAAATTATTTTGAAGAGCTAAAACGCAAGGCAGGACAGTGACCAGCATTTTACTTATCTATTGCAGCTGTGGCAAAGTTACCTTTTATTTTTCAAATCAGTGAGTACCTTGCTCAGGGGTCTCCTCTTCTTGTCTCATCCCCCATCCAGACTGTGGGCTTGATGAATTCCGTCCTCTTCTTGAGTAGTAATTCTGCACATCTGCAGGTAAAGTCTTTCTGACAGCCCAGCTGGAGGCAGATGTCCACCCAGACCTGTCAGCAGGCGAATCAAAGGAATAATCCTGCTCGCTCTTGCGCCTGTACGGCTGGTGCTCCGGCAGCCTCGAGGTCTCATTCCCAGAACCATTTGAGTTCCCTGAGAGGGGTTTTCTGTTTTGCCAGTGATTTTCACTCTGGTCTCCATACACAAAGCCACCTCTTCCGCGCCCACCTCTCCCACGCCCACCTCTTCCTCGATTGGAAATCCAGCCAGAGTTGAAGTTTTTATTCCAAGAGTGTCCCGAGTTCTCATGCCGGTAGTCTTCCCAATGCGGTTTGTCTCGCTCTCTGTTCCTCATCTCAGGAGCAGAATTTATCCTTTCCATCACCCAGTCTGGACAATCATTTCTGCGTTTGTCTGAAGAACACTGATCATCATTATGTTTTTCTGCGTCGTCCTTCTCTTTAACATTCTCATTCTGTTTTTCCTGATCACTCCTTTTGTATCGATCATTTGATCCTCTGGGACTTCTCCAACTGTCATTTGTCCACCTCTCTTTCCATCGAGGTGAATGACCATCCCTCTCATTCCTAGACGATGAAGAACCTTTATTTCTTGTTCTAGATCGTGATCTTGACCTAGACCGTGACCGTGACCTAGACCATCTCCTATTTCTTCTTTCTCTGTCGCGATCTCTTCTTTGACTATCTCTATCGTTGCTTCGAGACCTAGATTTTTGCCTTGGAGGGGAATCCTTAGCTCTTGACCGAGAAGATGATCTTCTGCTTTCCCTGACAGTTTCTCTTTTGGGAGATCGAGATGGGGTTTTCTTCTCATCTTTGAACGTCTCTCTTTTTGGAGACTGAGACGAGGACCTCCTTCCTTCCCTAACAGTTTCCTGCTTTGGCGATCGAGGGCTCCTCTCTTTGGTTACCTCCCTTTTAGGGGATGGTGATTGGGATTTCCTGCCCTCTCCCCTAGAAGGAGACCAAGTTGTTGATGGAGAGTGAAATCTAGATCTTCTAGTTCGAGTCTTTTTATCTTTTTTAAGTTCTGATTGACACTCCTTCTCTTGAGCAATCATTTCAACTTTTTCATCAGAGAGTCCTGAAAATGATGTAGAGTTTCCAGCATCATTTTCTAATGATTTCACTTCTTCTTGATGTATTCTCTCAGCTGGTGGTAGCTGTTCAACCTGAGGTTCGTTCTGGTCACTGCAGAATGAGTCACAATCCATTGGTATCATTTCATTGTTATCTTCACCAAAATGCTTATGTTCACTATTTATTTTGGGTGCTTCTGAAGTTCTACCCTCTTCACTTTCTGGCACAGCCTTCTCTTTTAAGGACTGTTCTGATGTGCTGTCCGAAGCACTGGTGTTTATTTCTTCATCTTGGACAGATTTTATGTTTTGAATACCTGTACTTACAGCGTCTGCTACTGTCCTTCCCTCAGTCTCAGAACCATCTATTTCTATGACTTCTTGAGGCTCATGCAATTTTCCTCTGGTGCTCTCTAATGGGCAGTTTTTCTCCAAAGGCTCTGGATGTTCTGACAATTCATTTTTTGAACTAACTATTGGTAGATCTATTTTTGTCAAAGTTTCAACACTTGCCAATAATTCATTCTGAGGACTAGTCAATGCCTGATCTTTTTCCACTGTTGTCATACGTTCAGGTAACTCATCTCCGGGAACAGTCGTTGCTTCCATTTGTTCAAGAGTATCTTCACAGCTGTCCTGATCCTTAATAACTATGTTTTTTTCAGTAACATCCTTTATTTCAGATTCCAGACTTTCTTCTTCCAACGTTAGTATTGGAGGTTCTTGGACAGACAAACTTGCATCTGTATTTTCTGAAGTATCTTCATCCTTGCCACGTTTTCCTGTGGCTTCCTCAATTTCTGCATGTTCACTACAGCTTTCCACTCCATTAGCAGATTCCATTTCCACATTATTTCCGTGCGGGAGGTTTGTACTGTTGCTTTCATTACCTGAGAGGTCGTCTTTTTCAAGCATCAGAGCTGCTTCAGACTCAGCAACGTCATCATCTTCCACTGAATCACTGGAAGATTTTTCAGAACGTGCAGATCTTCTCAGTTTCTTTTTAATCAGAGGTGTTTGTTGTTTAACTATTCTTTTAGATTTCCGTTTTGGAAGGGCTTTCTCCAATTCTGAAGACGATTTATCCAGAGAGGTATTCCTGCCATCAGGGGCACTGCATCCAGAATTGCTCGACTGAGGTGAGCTCTGAGACTGACCCAGAGTCCCATTTCTGCTGTTCCGTGCAGATCTCCTCCTAGGAGCAGCATTAACAGCCTTCTTTCGAGTTCCTCTAGTGCCAGAGGAACCAGAAGTTTGCTGCTTCTCTTCTCCTTCTTGGGTACATGCAACAGCATATCCTTTGCCTAAAGACTCTAAAACAAGCACAGTATGTTAAAGTCTCATAACATTTATACCAATACAGTTAATAATGTATAATATACGGTAAGATTTACTAAGCTTAAGCAGCTGGTCCTATTTTGTTTAACACAGACTTTAAAGAATAGAAGCAGACTAAAGCAGTGACATGTTAGCTATCTAAAGGTGTGTTCTAGAGGCAGCACCAACATCGCTACATGGACAGCAATGGCACTCACAGAGAACAGACAAGGTCGATATTTAAATGGTCAGAAATGAAGCCACTGGTAACGTAGCAAGTTACCTGCCCAGCACTGTTACCATACAGCAGTTCTAGGCATTTTAAACTGCAGGGCTGTTGGCAGAGGGAATTTGGCAGTGAAGCTCAGCGCCGCAGAACGATACATTTTTAGGAGGCCCTCAGTGGATTATCCCCCGAGAAGCAGCTGATCCCACCACACGGTTCCTCCTTACAGGACCTGCTTCCAGCCAGTGCAGGCTCGTTTGCAAGTTATCAACAAGGCCCTGGGAGCTCCACGCGAGGGAGACTTAAACTGGGCTACAAGGTCCCCTGGGCACCCAGCGGACCAAGGACATGTAAAATCTGCGGCGAGTTCAAGGCCAGGGCTGCCCCGGGAACACGAGCAGCGGCACGGGGTGGCACGGGGCGGCCCTGCACTGCACGCTGCCCCCAGCCCGGCTGGCGGGGGGTCCGGCACAGGCACTGCACAGGGGGCTGCAGGAGAGCCAGGGGTCATGTTGGCCTTCCTGCCAATATGATGCAGCTCAGGAGTTTAAGATAAAAGGGAAAAAAAATCCAACACGATGCAGTAATGTGTCTCAGGCTTCATGCAGTCTTCGAAAAGCATCAGGAATTTGGTGTCCAAATTTATTCTTTCTACAGCTCCACTTTAATACCCAAACTAAAAACTCGCCAAGGCATTAAGAGGGCCTGGATTTTGCAGTGGATGTATCACATCATGCTTGAAGACACTTAATTCTAACTCTCTGTACAGGTCTGCAATTTACAGTGCTTTTACTGCACTAAAATATTTCAGTTTAATGTATTCTTAAATGGATTAAAGAAAAATAAGACACAAATTGATAAGACAACAACTATGTAAGAGCACAAACTCCTCTTTCTACTACCCACTACTTGTTTATTAAAAGCACATATATAATCTGATAATCTTGAGAATTACTTTTCCAGCACTTCATAGATTATCACTTTAAAAGGCCATGGCAGAGCACAGGACCATGACTGCCTGGTCTGTGCTCCTGTGTAAACACAGAAGGAGGAGCCCATAGAGCTGTTTACCCGAACAGGCACACACAAATCTTTGTATTAAATCAGTGTGTTCCCCATTTCCTGTCTTCTGCCTTTCCTCACGATCTCCTGCTTCTCCCAAAAGACAGCATAAGAGGTTGACTTCCCTGTTCTGCACTAGGGTTTGACAGCATTATCAGCACTCACAGATCAGTTGAAAAAACAAGCTGAAACTTATTTAAATGTTTTTAATCTCTTATAAGAATAATTCTTCTTTTTTTTTCTGCTTGTGGTTCAGATTAACAAGGAAGCCTGACTAAAAGAGAGACTAGCACACTTTTTTTTCCCACTAGTTCTCCTGAATTTTCCTTTTTTTCTTCAAAGACCATATTCTTAGACACATCTCATGCATCAGTCATCAAATGCCTTAACGTCTCTTTTCTTGGATCTAAACTTCATTAATTATTTTTAATTAAATTTTAACTTAAATTTTAAAGTCATTAAACATTCATTAAACATAGTAGGGCCCCTCATCAATAATGCAGGATAACCTTCTTCCAAAGTTTAAGAAACTGAAGCAGGGCATAAGAAAAGGATTTGAAATGTCTTCCTTTGCTGCTATCATCACAGCTCAGTTCCGATTTACATGAAATAGCTCATTCACTGCATCCACCTCCAGCACACCCAGCCCTCTCAGGTTAAGAGGACCTTGTAGCAATGTTGAGATGTACTTCTGAATCTCAGGTGGGTGAACGTTCTGCTTCTTATTTAATGTTCACATTTCTGTAATAAGGATCAGAAAGACCAACCAGAGACACAAGCTAACGGGACTCACTACCACCAAAGCAGCAATGGTTAAGCACCAGCTGCAGGGAAGCTGGGGGAAGAGAAGCCACATTCTGCGTGAGGACAGGGGGAGCAGCGGGCAAAGCAGCCGGAGGAAGACCCTTCCCTGCCTGCCCTTCTGCCGAATTTCTGCCATATTCTGGAGCTATGGAAACTTTTCCGCAAGCTTGTAGCTTGCTAGTGTACTAAAAGAGATCCCAGACTGCAGTTTCTTGATTATCCTTCTTGTCAGCAAAGAGTTTGCTCCTTACACTGCATAGGAGTGTATAACCTCCCCCAGCAACTAAGTATTCTGCTCACATTTCTCATAATCACTTTTTGACAATATTCTACATGAGCTATAAATAAAACTTACAAAAAAAAAGTTTACCAAAGTTTTCCAAAGGCCTGATATTGCTTGGAAGAATTGTCCCTGGCAATGTGGTAGAAGGAAGAAGAATGGCCTCAGCTTCAGCTCCGTAGGATATCAAAGGAATTCTGGAAAATTAAACGCAGTAACAGCTGCTTTAGCTGTTTGTAGCAAGTGTTTGAAATAAGACAAAATCAGTGTTATCAAAAACATAAGGCAAGCATTATGCTTCTAGGGTATTTCCAGCTTGAGAAAAGCAAAAATGAGAGAGAATGAAACCTTATTCTTCAAATTAAAAATTTTTTTTTGAAGGGGCACACATGATTAAGGCACAAAGTTTAACTTCTAACAATCTTGCAAGTAATCTGGACATGAAGCCCTGCAATGAGTTCTGAGAAGCTCTGTTCTCCACTGCATAACCATGGCTTCACTTTGGCCTTCAACTCTGTAATAAGATACTATAAACGTAAAAGTGCTACTGAAGAACTGAGAGAGTTATTTGAGGCTACACTGAGCATGATTTACTTGATTAAAACAGTCTGAGTATCCATTCAGATAATCCAGCAGAGTGTTATATGAGGCACATCTGTTCCTAAATACAAAAGTTCTCCAGCGTATTGGAACTAGAAAATGAAGAGTCTGAAGCCTCATTCACAGAATGCTCTGAAGTTTCTTCATTAATTAGGCCAATGTCTAAAACAAATCTGAGTTTATTTTCCAAGGCTAATCTGTTAACACCTAATCCACTAAACCAGTTTGAACAGCTGTGCTACGTTAAAGTCATTCTTCAAAAACCCAACATAAAATTGCAGCAGAGTCTAATCCAAATCAGCAGGCTGTCGTACTGGCAACAATTTGTAACACTGACTTAGCACTTCAGCAAAAGAACAGCTTCTTTTGCATAAAAAAAAAGAAATAGTATAAATGTAAGATTAATAATGGTGTTTTTTATGTATTTTTTCCTAGATTATGCCACGCAGTTATTAGCTGTTCTTGACATTTTACTTAAGAATTGTTTCAAATGTAGCTTAACAAAAATACATAAAATGCCCACTGACCACAAAATGCATCACTTTAAATAATACTTTTATTTTTATTTGTTTAAACATATGAAATATTATGCCTCACAAGAAAGGTAAACCTTGCAGAAAGACAGAATTTAGTTGGTGATAAAAAAATTTATACCTGTAAGTTAGAATGAAGCTTTCTATCAGCAAAATTATATGTAAACATATAGGTGAAATTTTAAACTATTTTAATAATAATAATAAAAAATCTATTTTCTCTCATCATTAATCTTTTAGGGCAAGGATGGAGTAGAGAGATGCAGGGGAGTCATCATCATGGACAGAATCAATTTCTCAATGTCTTTTTCAAATCTATTTTTAATGATAATATATACCCAAAAACTTTTTAAAAGACTCATCTACTCTCCTATATCCTTTATGTTGTTTCATTTGATAAAATTACTCATTTTCTTTCCAGATGCATCTGTTTATACACAATTACAGAAAAAGAAAAGTGTCAGAACTAAACCATGTAAGAGGAAAAAAAAGCAGTTAGATATTACAGCAAATGTAGTCTGATTTTTAATGATGGAAATCAATTTTAAGAGTATATAAAACACACTAACTTCCTAATGGAAAATATGTTTCAAAGTGCATTTCTGTGAAAGTGAGGTGCACAACTCAGTGCAGTTACGATGCTAAGGATTACGCTGAGGATAACGATAGCACCAAGATGTACAGAGAGCAGTCTTTGTATTAACATAAACCAGCAGGCACAAATACACAAAAATTAAAATGTTGTGAGCAAACAGTCTAATTTTAGTGATCAAACAGTAACATATCTAAAAAGCCATTTAAATCAAATTTCAAACTAAGTAGTTCATTAAGAGTCTTTGCTAGTATAGAAACTAAACGTGTACCTTTCAGCTCTAGCAAGCACAGATGGACAGGACAACTCCAGTTCTTGTCTCTTCTGTCTGATCACTGTATTGATTTCTGTGAATTCTGTACTGAAATATAAATTTCACACCACTTTTAAAATAACTTTGTATTATGACTGCTTTGTACTTCAGTAATCGCTTCCATTAGTTACTATTTTGTAAATTAAACTGTATTAGAACTTTCAGAAGTCATGATGAAAATGTATCTCTATTTTTAGATGGAAAAGCAGTCATAAAAATGAGAGAGAAGTCCTAAATAAAAAGAGGATTTATTTAGGAATAAGAAAGAGGAAACAGGAGATGAACTCCGTTCTCGAGGAAGTCAAAGGATGGAGAAACTCTGTATCCCCGAAAAATTAATATTGTTGCATTCATGGAGAAAAAAATGTCATCAACCCCTCCTCCATTTACAGATTGCCTCACCCATGCAATTCTGATAAGGCCATATTATCCAAATAATTTTGTCCTGGATATTATTGCAGACTTTTAATATCTATCATTACTTCCACTGTTTTTTAACTCCCTTCCACCTTCTCAACAAAATATGTTTCTTATGCCTGTTAAGTACTAAGCTCATTAAGCACAAGTTGTTTGATGGATGTTTAAAGCATCCCTCCTGTAGTCAAGACACAGAAAAATAAAATTGTTCCTGCTCTGAAATACTGGTAACTGTTCTGCTAACTGCTGCTGTAACAACAGGACTGACCCTTCTCTGTTTAAGGCTTCAGCTCAGCAAGCAGTATTAACATATGCTAAAAAAAAATGCTAAACATATGCTAAAATCCTAATAAACAAATGAGGTTACAAGCATATGCTTAAGTATTATGCTGAATATGCAACAGGCCAACTGGGACACTCCTTAGCGATGCTCATTTTATAATGTTGGCGTTTATCCTTTAACTGCTGTTTTAGCAATGAACATAAAAGCAGTCATCCTTCAATTAAAACATTTCTAGGTAAAAACAGACAGATGGAGGCAAGAAGAACTATAGTATCCACAATGCTGTAACCTGTTGCTTTGTGTTAGGCACTAGTATACACTTACCTGTCATTTCTGCAGCTTAAAGAGGATTCTTCCTTGCTCCCGTTGGCTAGAGGTGTGCTGGAGAAAGCAGTTCTGAGGCGCTCGCTCCAGCAGGTCTCTCTTCTGGGCTACAACATAAAATGATAAATGAAACAAATCCAAAATGAAATAATTAGCATTTCATACATAACAATGCACCAAAATTAAGTTGTGTCAGCAGACTTCAGCTCACAAAAGCTGACACCACTGTAGTGCCACAGTTAATACTGTATTCAGACCTGCAATTATAGCAAATGTTCCTGTATCCAATCTCCAGATCTTCAACGCCTGCAGACCTTTCCAGACAAACCTAATTTTCTATAGGTTTTCCGCAAGGAAGTTGTTAGTGCTCCATATAGAAACATATGGGAAACCAATAAATGAGCTATTATCTTCACCATTTCACAGTTCCCACTGCCACTAGCTAAGGAACCATAAGCAATAAATGGTGGCACCTTCTAACAATAATACAGGAGTTCAACGAATGCCTGGTGTTCAAATAACAAGAATGCCCAAGTTAAGTAGCTGGGATGCTCCTTTGCCTGCAAGGGAGTCAGAGAATTCAAGAATTACTGGTATTGACCATCTACCGGGTCCTCACACAAAGGGACAACCTTCTGTGTATGAAACACCACTTTATTTCAGCTGACACAAACACCTGAAGCACTGACACCAGTGTGTTGCCTTCCACTCTGTGTCCAGCAAACAGCTTGACTTCGTTGGTGTTGCCACGTCTCCATACACTTCCCTCAATTACCAGACTGACATATTTGTGCATATTGAGCTGGTTTTGAAACTACATTTAAAAATCAGAACCTACAGGGTCTTCCCAACGTTCTCTTTTACAATATATTTACTTCATAGAAAAAAAGATGCCTCTTTGTAGTAAGATGGGCGTAGATGGATTTCTCACGTGTGGAGCCTTGTTCTACGTGTGCTGTCAAACGTCAACGAGAAGGCTGGTTTTGACCTGAACGTGCCCCAGTGTGAATAGCAGTGAGCTTCTGCCAAAGCAAGCTGCCATTTTTTCTTCCCAAGAATACTTATTTCAAAAATTAACATTTCTCCCTCCACCTAAAATGGATGTTCAAGTACTCTGATAATATCTTTATGAAGTGGCAACTAGTAAATCAGTGTGCCAAAAAAAGAAAACAAACAAACAAAAAAAACCCACCTTCCCCACCAAAAAAAAAGAAAACCCAAACTTTGAAGATGCATCAGGTAATTCTCTCATTCCTAATCCCGTACCTGTCCCACTGAGGTTCGAGGGAGCATGGTTTCTTTGGTTTGTTGTTGTTTTGTTTTTGTAAGCCTACTTTTGCTTAGGTACTTTTTTTGTGGCAAACACAGTTTGAGACGTTGCCACCATTCAGTACTGCACAGGAATCACTGAAACTAGACGTAAAAGCAGCCACAACCCCACAGCCCAGCTAGGGGCAGGTGGCCCTACCTTTCCGGTTCAAATGCTTTTGCAGTCTCTGAAAGACGATTTTGACCTCACGCAGTAAGGGGACCAAAACTTGCAAAGGCCAGAACCAAAGAGAAAGCCTGGAGCTACAGACTGCAAAGGAATCATGCTCCGCATGAAGCAGAGAGAACCCAAGCAACCAACCACATGGTGCAGTGGGTATTAATACCCTGCAGCAAGCAAGGCATCAGGCAAAATACAGACTTAGACAGTGGCTTGCTTCCAATTTTTTACAATCTAGGTAAGACAAACACCAAGAACATAATCATTTACTTCAAACAATTTAAATTAACTGCCCAAGCCTGTTCCATAGGAATATGCTTACACGTATAATCATTAACATGAAACATGGTTCACAGTCTGGCATCCCAGAGACCCTGAAATACCTCTGAAAGGGCAGGAAGGCAGAATTCAAACAGAGCCTTTACAACCGCCTAAAAATTGCACTCAAAACCTAATATAGCATAAACTTAACTAAAGAGGAACTCTGGAAAAAGAAATCTTAAAAGTAATATCCCATTAAGCTTGGTGTAAAGAATAAAGTTAGCTGAAGTAATTTGATACAAAGATTTGGAACAATAACAACGATTGGTGAACAGAAGTGAGAAGAGGGTAGTTAGTGTCTTATAATGCAGAATGCTAATCTAAGTGAAAATATTCATAATCAGAAAAGTTATTTAATCTGAGAGAGAGACTGATATAGCCTAGTACTACATTCGCAACACTTCTTTCAAGACAAAAAAAATAAAAAAAGACAAAGCAAAAAGGTAAAAATTACTTTTGGATCATACTACGATAACAAATAGAGAAGTTAAATTAAGAGTAAGTAGAAAGGTTTTAAAAAGCTGAAAAACAAATGTTTATAGTGCTTCGTTATCAGAACCAACCTTGTTTATCTTCACAGACAAAGCTTTCTTGTTTCGTTTATCACACAAACCTTTACCTGCGTGAAATAAGCAGCAATACACTTTGATCGTAATACATTAGCTTTTAATTATTCATTAAAATCCTTAAATCAATTAGATGTTAATGAAAGTGTACCCGAAGTGTATTGGCAATGTGTTTACATATAAATTCAGTTTACACTCCAATATTTATAAACCTTCAAGAAACAAGTTATTACAATTATTATTTAACTATTCCACCAAACCACTACAGAGCAGCAGCTTATTTTGTTTTGTTTTTAACCGAGAGAGCTGGTAACAAGGAACTATTTGTTTGTGTTGCTATATCTCCTAGGAGGAAGTCACACAGAAGTGTCTGAAGGAAAAAACAAGTCTTTCAGCTTGCTGTGAAAAAGCTGAAATCCCTTCAGCTTCCAAAAATGAAAGCTGAGATTTGACATCATTACACCAGATACACACCTACTTTGGGCAGAAAAAACAGGGTACTAAAGGGCTCTCTGTTCTGGCAGAGAAAGGGATAATCAGGGTCAATACCTGGAGGCTGACGACTGCCAAATTCAAGTTAATCACTTACAAGAAAAAAAAGAAAAAGAAAAAAAAAAGTATTTTCTCACACGAAGTGATTAACCCCAGTGCATCTATCAATGCACTATCTCTTCAAACCAAAACTGGAAATTAAAACTGGATGTTTCTCAGGAAGGTATTGCCAGATTTCACAATTAGGGCCTCGCCTGGGTTAAATTTGATGACCTGCAATATGCAGATTATGATGATGAGTTCATCCATTTAGGCCTTAAAAAAGGCAGGACTCGAGCATGGTAATTTTATTATTGGAAAACAAAAATGCTTTTTAAAATATTGAAAACAAAACAAAACAAACAAACAAAAACCCCCACCAGGTTAACACCCCAAACTGACTTCATATTTTCTTTTCAAACAAACAATACTAAGTCACTTCACTTTCATCTGTGCTCAGCCAGACTAAAGAAGATGGAATCTAGAAGAGTCACTTGAAAAAAAAGAAGTGGCTTCGTACTCCTTTACTCCTTCAAGTTTGTGAAATATAACTTATAAATTAGAATTTCATCAGTATGACAAAAACACAGAACACTATTTTGGCTGCAGAAAACACACGTCAACAGAGATACTATATAAACTGTACAAAAATCTAAGAGTATTTCTATGAAATGTTTTAGATGAGCAAAATAAAAATGCTTGTAATTTCACAACAGCCATTTCCATGTCAAGCAGTTTTCACCTTTTCAGATTTTTGCTTAGTTTCGTAAGTTATGAAACCACTTTAAAAAAGCAGTACCTGTTAACGAAGTGATCTCTGGCTGAAACTAATGCATTTCATTTATGACTGTAATTAAGGAGGCAGTTTTTCCAGCAAAAAACACTACTGTGGTTCCAAAATATTGCAAGTTTGCTCTCTTAAGTTCCACACTCTTATAACTTGGTATTTGATTTTGACATGCAAATGTAAGCAGTTAAGAAAAAATCTTATATTTAATTCATTAAGGCAAATAATGAAGTTCCAAAATAAAATCAGCAATTTTACATGGGCAGTTAAAAAATATATATATCAACTTACTGTATTTTTTCTTCACAACTGTGTTTAATTTCGCTGCTAAAGGCCATCTTTCTGGAGCTGTAGCTCCTCTGAAAAATTAACAGAAGATACTATGAGCAGTTATATCTTTGAACATACTTGAGCTAAGAGCATATCCACTCATCTTAAACCAGTTCCTGTTTCAGGGAAATTTTATTTTATATGCACAGAATTCATGGCTACTGACTGCTATTAAAACCCTGAATTTGCATGCTGTGTAACATAATCTGTGCATTAAATAACATAATGCTTTGAAAAGCTTAAAAATGGAAGAAACATCTGCTTACAAGACATCAGTATCAAATCAATGTTTTTATTCTGCTTGATTTCACTGCAACATGTAAAAGATGTCACAACTCACATGCACAAATACTTAGAAAAAAATCAGTCAGTGGTATTTCAGAGGTGCAAAGGTCTCTCACCTCAGTATCTTGCTTATTTTCTAAATAATATATAATGAAATCTGCATAAAATCATACTTCAAGAATTCTAGGCATCACATACTATTCTGAACAACGTGTTTAAATTATGAACATTCAGAGAAATTCACCTGTGCATTCCTAAATTTCCCCCATATGCAAGTGCTCTCGGGTAAGCATTTACAATTTTTTTTTTAACCCAAATTTTAATTAGAGAGAACTAATTCTAAGAAAAAAGAATTTGGACACAGAAGTAGAAAGGGTTTTCAGTGAAATACTATTCCACTAGGAGTGGTATTTTTTGTCCCTTGCTTGGTGCTCTGCAACAAAATGAAGGAGATCAGTGTAAGCTCTTCTTTACAGCAAGTGTGACAAGACAAAATATCTGCTACACAGGAGGAGTATTTCCATAGTCCTCTCTCAAAATGCAATGAGATCTTGACTATAACTATACCTTATAGTAAAAAGATGAACAATGCCAATGTGTACAATAATCTGCAAGGGTGGATTTTAGATTCATTTAGATAACCAAAGGAAAACAGTCCTTTTGTCAAAATATGACCTAGATATACAATCTGAACTCAAATTAACAAAAAATTTGTCAGATTTGTTTTGAAAACCACCACTGTATACCTAAATGCAATCAATACACTGTTCCTTACACCCTGCTTATCATTAACTTTAGTAGGAACTACATCTGTGATGAAAAAGCTAAATTACTACTGACAGAGGAAAGAATGTCTTAAAAAAAAACACTTAAAAAAAAAAGAGGAATAATTTCCAACCTGTATATTTAATAACACTTGAATTTTTATTTTGGGAATTCCAATTAGAATCCTTTAGGTTAAGTGCAATACCAACCTTATAAATCTTCTCATCTTTGCATGGCTATATTTTCCCTTATTGCAGGCACAGATTTCCTCTTCTGTCTCCCATAATTGCTTCTTTACCTGAACCTGAATGGAGAAATAAAGTCACAGTCTTCAGTCTAGAAATTCAGTAAACACCATATTCAAATACTTCCAAAATCTCTACAGGTCTACAGGCAAATGAGCTCAAACAGAAGCACTTGAAACCTCCTCAAATCATAGCTTCTTTAATTCACAGTTTACAGATTTGAGGATATTTTGACCTATTTTTTACAAAATGTCAGAAAATGCTGATATATATATATACTGGCTAGGCCAAAGATGCATATAAATTCCTCAAAGCCACACGTCCCTGAATATTCAGAATGCCACTGCAAGCACCTCAAAAGTCCTGTGCTATCTGTCACTGAGAATTAGTGACTCCAGTGTCTCTGAACTGAGCTGGTTAATGTGACTATGCGAAGGTTGACTTTGAAAAAATGCTCAACTACGCTTCAACTTCCAAATGCTTCCTCGTCCTAAAAAAGGAAAAATACACTCTTCTTAAAGTAGCTTGCAGATAGCATATAACATAATTTTAAAAACGTGGCTACAACACCGTTTTTATTACAAAATGAATTTTAACAGTAAAAACCTGAGCTGCGAAGTAACTTCAATGGCTACATTTCACCTGCTTTCATGGGATACTTTGTATTTTCTTATTTGAGAAACTTGACGTTGTATGTAACTTTGGTTTTCCGGTATTATTCTTATTGTGAGTATCACAGTACTGATACTGCCCCTGCTAACAGTGACCACGGTGGCAGCACCTCCCTGTACCTCCACCTACCCCCCTGCTCCAGCACCTCTTGTTTTGGAGCAGGATCCCCCTCTGTCCTGCTTGCCTACTTATTGGCACCCCATCTCTGTGAACACGAAACCCAGTGCACTAAAAGCAAAGTTGATAGAGCCTCTAAACCACCCTCACTAAAGTCTTTGGTTTCTCTTGTTTCAGTTGCTTCCTCAGTTTGGCATGCGCACACGCACACAAAGCAAGGGAGCTTCTTTTGTGAACACAGTGAAATGAGAAATCAGTAACTTGGGAACTATTCAAAGACATAAGTTTATCTCAGAACTCCAAACCTGTACCTAAAAGTATGAGAATCTTTTTGCACACGTTTTCAAGTTTAGTAATCAACATCTGTCACAAATAAGTTTTATTTTCCTAATTGGTAAACTGTTCTCTACAGCAGCTATATTTTGCTTTATTTATGGCCAAAAGATTCAGAAGTCTAGATTGAGCAAGGCTTATTACCTCACTCTTCTTGCTTTCATGAGTTTGTTCCTGCCAGTGTGTTAGAAGCAGTGCTAAGACTCAGCTCTGCTAAGCAGGCATTATGGCCAGCTAGTTCATATAACATTTACAAACCTTAATTAAGAAAAAACAAAAAGCTTTGAGAATCATACTCTACTTTTCTTCTTAGGCATAAAAAGAACGTTCAACGATGATTAAGAAGCTGCTATTTGTTTATACTTTGTTACTGTAAAAGTTTGTTTTGGAAGAATTAACAGAATTCTAAGCATCGAATATTTTACAGAAATGTTAAAGCTGTAATTAATAAATTAACAAAACTCAGTTGTGTATGACTAAGAGGTCTATATACATCAGCTACAACATCAGCTGTTTGAGAAAAAAGGCTGGGACTCACCTTTATCTGATTCTCTAATGCATCAAGCTTACATATGGCTTGAAATGGTCTGCGATCAATAGGACACGAGGCCTTTGTCTGAAAAAGATTTTTCCTGTTATAACTTTTGTAATAAGCTAAGAAAAAAATAGCCACATTCTGTACTTTTCATCTTAGCTACAGTGCTTTGATGAAAATATGCAAAATTTCAAACTTGCTGACATTAAGAATCTATTTGCATTTACTGGTCATATAATTTAGTAACCTATTTTGTAAAGAGACTTTTCCTTACTGGAAAGTCCAAAAGAAACAGCAATGTAACTCAGAAGTTATATTCAAAAGAGGAAAAACACCTACATGAAGGTAGCTATGACTTCTTTTTCGTCATTCTCTTTTTATTTTTAAAATCCCTGTTAGGTAACTCTAGTTTTGCACCACCGCACAAACACCCCTTTCTTTCGTAATGCTGGAAGGCCAAATATTAGCACACACCAACAAAAGAACATAATGCAGTCGCTGGGCATGGGAAGGGACAGCTACCGCACAGAACAGCTTCCCTCGCTCCCCGGTTTCAACTCTGTAACACAAACTGTGGTGGAACTCTCTAACATGCCCTTCAACTTCTCAGCTACCAAACTTTTTAATTCGGCGTCTTCTAATCAAAATCAAACAAACGACTCTCTAGGAAAGGCTACTGCATTAATATCTACTGCAACTTTTCAAGCTGCTTACTTCTCCATTACTTTTCACTTGTTTCTCTACCTACTGAATTTTTCCCCTATTTAGCCTTTGACTTCCACAACACTGGGGCTCTCCTAATATTGACCCAAAAGCATCAGCAGTTTCAAATATGCCTGAGAATCCCAATCCCCTACTTACATCTTGCGCTTTCTGAGCAACTACTCTGGCACTGCAGCTGAACAACATTGACAAAGAGTATTTTGCTGCCTAACAGCTTCTCCTGTAGATGCAACTTCAAAAAAGCCTGGAAGTAAAGTTCTAATATTAACAAGGGAACAGTGTTGGTGTTGACACAGGACAAAAGGGTCATATGAAAGGAGGGAAAAGAAGAGAAAGAAACCACATCCCTGCAAGGAAAGCTAAAAGCCACAAGGCTGGTGGGTGGCTGAGTGCTCTACTACATTCCAGCTCCTTTTGGCAGCCTGTAGAGAGCACAGGCTCCTGTGCTTGACACAACTGGTAATTTGTAAAGCAGTTTTCAAGAGAATGGCCCTCAAGGAGGCTATTCTGCCCCTAGCAGTAACCTGGAGCAGCTGGAGCTCTGCCACTCCACTTCATACTTGCATCAAACATGTCCCGGGCTCTGCCTTCTTCAGGAAGATGCAGCAAATACCAGGAGAATATATTTTAATAAGGAGCCAGAGGCAAAAGAATTACTTTGCTAAAAGACAATCTAGAAAAAAAAATACAATTAGTACATTTTCCACTGAGACTAATGAGTCTGTCTCATTTTTAAGAGTGTGCTCCAGGTATTCCAAGCTCAAATAACCATTCTACCTTTGAACCATTACACTGGAGAAGCTGCATGCACAGTCAGTTCCCATTTCCCATGCATCCAAAATTCATTTCTCAATCAGAATTCATCTACCGGGTTTTTTCTTTTTTTCCTTTCTTCTTCCCCCTTCTCCCCTTTTAGACTCCTTAGAAGAAACTGCATCCACACTTGCTAACCACATTTGGGCATCATTTTCATTCCTTTTCTTCTCCCCCAAACAACTTTCGAATTTACTGACTATTTCCAATCAAATCTGATAGAGGTCTCCAGAAATACAGATTTACTGTCTTTTCCTTAGCAACCTAAGCGTGCACCCATTGAGGGAAAGGCTGCACTGCACAAGGATACAGACATCAAACAGTGACACGTTTGAGGTGTCCAGAGTGGGGAAGCATCAACCAAAGCTCCGCCTAACTAGGCCATGCTGTGACTCGTGGAGAAACACACAGGAAATCAGTATTATATTCTGATGCTAGAGATGGTTTAATGTGGATGCTCATTCCCCTTCCTCACTTGAAGGGTCTTCACAGCCCCTGTTCAGAACAGGGAGATGGGGAAGTAGGGGAGAAATCCGACCTCTGTTAGACCCTACTTCATCTCACTAAACAAATCCAGTATTTCAATAGTGTAAATTCTGTCCTTAAGAGAGTTACCAGGGAAATATGCTATTTTTTGCAAGCAAGATGCAATGCTCCTCTTATAAACAGACTGGCATGAGCAACTATGAGAAACTTGCGTACAAACTATCATAAGGTTAAACGATTTTTTTTCTTGTTCATTTATCAGAGCTTTTCATATTCCAGTTGACTGATGATGAGCAGGAAACAATGGCAAAGTGAGCCCTGCTCCTCATTTGCCTATACAGCCCCCCAACCCTTGGGCATTCAGGCTGTAATTTGAAATGAAGTAACCAGACCAGAGTTGGATTTTATTTATTAAAAGAACAGCGATCATTGCATGAACAAGCTATTGAACAAGGGTGAGATTCAAGCCATCACCTCACCAGAGCTTCCAAAGGAGAGGGATTTTATCCTTACCCACACCGTCCTCCCACTGGAGGATCCCACTGTTCCCTGCAACCTGGCGGCCCTGGTGAGGCCCAAGCAGCCTAGGCAACTAACCCAGTTCCCTAAGGGCTCGGATTATGAAAACTGCTTTGGTTCTGTACCCAACAAAAGGCTAAACAGGAGTAAAAGAGCAGTGTTGTCCAACTGAGAGATCTCACAGTCTGCAGTGCAGTGCAGCTATTGAACCAGCTGCAAACTTCTCACAGTAAAGTACTTTCTTAGATATACCAGACAGGCTGAAAGAGGCATGAAAGAGGCAAATTTCATATCCGCATTAAGCTTGTTTCAGAATAAGTTGTTCTGAGAAGACAGTCTGTTTCTATATTTTAAATTTACACAAGAAGATTAAGTCACGTTCCCAAGTTTAAGTCACAGTGAGCAGTTTATTCATTGCTATGAAATGTAAACATGGATTACTACACACATTAGCAGTAAATCAAAGTATTTTGCTCGACTAGAAAATCATTCACTCAGTTTTTTGTGGAACCAAACAGATGTTTAAGAAACCCATACATACATACACAGTGATCAAGAAAGAGAAAAACATTCTGGAAGAACCAAAAGCTATGGTTAGGTTCAGACGTGTTTAGAAACAGCAGATGCTGTTTCCCACTCCAACTCAGTTGCTCTTTATAGCTCTAACTTTGTCTGATATTTTGCAGCAAATCTTCTGAGATATTGTAGTAAAGACATGACAGCTTAAAGTGTTACAACCCTCTGGGCCCTGGAGGGAAGACAGAGGTTCTTCTGTGTTGTTTATTTGTCTAAGGATACATCAGCTTTCACCTGTCAGCTAATAATATGGCCTTTAAAGTGAAAGATCAAAGGATTAAAAAAAAGAAAAAAAAAAACATATATTCCCCTGCCTCTCCCTGTGCTGCTACAGGGCAAAAAAAAAGGGTTAAAACAAAACACTTTTTTTTTTTTGTTGGGGGGCAAAAAGGAGCCACTAGGAGCCTTTTGCTCCTCTCTTGTCTTTGTGAAGATGCCTCAGGAACCAAAGGGTCTTCATTTAAGGCCACTTAGCTTTCCCCTTCACTTAGGCTTCTATACAGGAAGCATCCTAAGGGATAGTGAACATATACTGTCCTTTGGTGGAGGAAAAAACTTAAACAAGTTAAAGGTAAGGAGATGAAAGGAGTCCAAGTAGAAGCTAGCACTTTTATTATGGATAAGGAGGAGGGATTTAAAAACAAAACATTGCAGTCTTACGTAACTACTACTGTATGCAGTTATGTTTTAACACAGATGTCTAAAAACAGAATAAAATCAGAAAACAGTATTACAATATAGTATTTAACGTAACAGTTAAAATGAGAAGAGCCCAGCTGGTGTTCTTGAGATTTAGTTTTTTGCTTCCTGACAGTGTTTTTCTTGGAAAAGCCCAGAAGAGCTATCCAACAAACTGTTCCAAACATCTCAGCTGTTTCACTGTCTACATGAAACTGCTTAGCATTTTCCTGTAAAAATCGGTAACTCTGAAGGGATTCATTCTTGCACTTGACCTGTGATATCCTGACACTTTTCATAAGGCATGGAAGTGTTCACGGAGCCTGTAACCCCAGAAAAGCTGTTTATGAGCAGGTGTGAGGGTTTTCTGTGCATGTTCTCTGAAAATGCACTTCAAAGTATTTTGATGTGGCTTTATCTCCACAGGCAAAACCATGTTCAGTATTCTTAGAACTGTGTAGCCTCAAGATTATTAGTACAGAAGATACTATTACAAGATTATAAAACAGCAATCTTGATAATCTCAAAGAGGAAGTGTGCTCTTAACTGCATCACTCCCAGCAGCATTTAAAATGACCCTGCTCCAGCTGGGGCTTTCTAGGAAAGCCACCCAGATAGGTGACCTCAAAATGGTTTTGGTTGACATAATAACTTTGTTGAGCAGCCCCATCTCATCAAGCTCTATATTATGAGGTTTCATGCACTTAGCAAGCAGATGAGATCTATGAACAAGCATTTCTGCAGTATTATTACTTTACCACATTTCCTCCCCACAACAGTCCATAACTAAAATCTATTTTTCAACTTCTCATTAAATGACGTCCTAAAAAAGAAACATGGTCTGTATAATGTAATGCTCCTTTATTAGAGAACATGTTTTCAGCAATACCAAAACATTATCTAGTTTTCACCATTAAATTCAGGTTTAAAAATAAAGTTTAGACTGTAGAAGTTGCATCCAAATCTTTCATTTCCCAGTAAAAGCTGTGCACAAAAAAGCCCCAACAGTTCTGCCTCCATCTTCAGTGAAAAGGCAGACACCAGAAAGCACTTTAGCACCCTATTTCTAGAAAAAAGTGGAAAAAGTCATCCCAGGATTCTAGTCTTCTTGGTAAAGTAGATTTAACATTCTTGCAGTTGAGCTTTAGAAGAGCAGCATTTCCAGCAAGAGATTCTAGTTTATTTTTCTAGACATATCACTGATGGTTAACAGAGATAAAACAATGCACATAATAGAGATTCTAGTCTCAACACCCAGTCAACACTCATTAGCTGCAATTTTAAACAGCTGTTTTCTCTCTACCCACATCACTCAGGCTGGCTAGTCTTCACTTCCTATCCAAAATTGCCACATGTTGCTTCTATATCCCATAAAATGCTGACAAGTTCTATTGCAATGGTGGCTCTCTTTCAGGAAGGATGAAATGGCTCATTATTTGTAATGAGCTGCAGACCCTGTGGCAATTAAAGCTGTCACCATGTTTTCTTAGACACTATATTATCAGAAAAGGGAACCCAAGCTCAAGAACATTCAAATACCAAGTTTCACATGGCTCTCCCTCAACAGTGTTAAAATTCATAACCTGCTGCATAGGGGTATTTTTCTTGATAAATACACCAAGAAAAATTGCACACCAAAAAGTCAGTATGTAATCTGAAAAAGTATAAAAAGTCTAGATTTTCTAAAATAGTATGATTAAAGTAATTTTCTGTGCAGCTGTTGAGATATATCGTCTATGCATATCATGTATGCCTTGGAGACACAAACTAGAGAAGATCTTTGTGTGGAGGGTGTTTAACTTTAGGCTTAGGGTTCCTCTGGCAACCCAGTACATCAGTTCAACAGGGCAACCCCAGCTGTGCCCACTGCTCTGCACCACAAACCAAGAGCACTGCAGAACTCGTTGCCACGTCAGCTACTTCTTTCACGTAGCCTCAAGGACAAAGGAAGACAAATCAGGAAGAGCAAAGCACACACTGAGAATTCCCCTTGCCAGGCAGGTAGCTCCCCTTTTATCCACAGGGCAGCATACTCATATAGCATATTGTACATGAGCAGCAATCCAAACCTTCTACACGTGAACAGCTCTCCTAAATTAACCAGAGGACCTAGCACACACGTAATGCAGGGAAGCTCTGTGGGCCAACTGATGCTGCACGAGACCCGCCTGGGTAAGTTCTGTAACTTGCACTCTGCTTTAAGACTGATGTCTTTGAGTAGGATATTAAAAAATGAGTAGGATATTAAAAAAAAAAAAAAAAGAGCTTTCCTTTAGCGCACCAGACAAGGTGACATTAGCTAATTGGATAACTGCTTCCCACAAATACATAATTAACATCCCTTCACATTAGCCTTACTTGTTTGCAGCCCTGCTTATTATGAACTAATACACGTGCTTAGTAACTTGAAATACAAAACAGTCTAATTTTGACTACTTCCCTTGCTCCAACACCAGACTGATGGTGCCTGAAGACTCTAGATCACTTTGAGATATGGGCAAAATAATCCAGATGCACCACACAGATGTTCTTTGCAGTAAAAGAGCCCTTTTCTCGCACTGTCCTTCAGCATTCCCACTGAGTGTGTCCAACAGCCTCAGCTACAGATTTAGGCATCAGGTGCCTGGCATTCTTTATGAGCTGCTAACATAGCTTTAAGCTCTTCATTAATAAGTTAAACAGTGTCAGCTTATCAGAGTTGCAGACCCCAAATGGCATTTATTCTAGTCCTTGCTGCCTAATGAAAACAGTCGGACCAACACTGGCCCATAATTCCTGCGAGAGCCCTGGGAGGTAGAGCCAAAGACAGGGAAGATGACAGTCTAGAGTACAGGACAACCTAATGGCAATATTGGATACTGCAGTTAACTATACTGAACATAGCCAAAGACTGAATAATACATTAAAAAAAAAAGCTAATTTGCAGGCTAGTTGCCTGGTGGGAGTTTAGTCTCTACTTCACATTAAGGAGCTAGATACTTTTCCTCATCAAGAAAGGAAACATAGTACTCCAAATTAACTAGAAGCCTAAAGTAATGCTACCAAATTACCAAACCAAATGTTCAGATTTAGTCATTAGGGCTTAAGTGTATCAGGTCAACTTTAACGAGCATCTTATACATTTTTAGCTCTTCATGGAATCAAACAGCAGATACTCACTTAAAAGAAACACATATCCCCTTAGAAAGCCAAAAAAGCCTCAGAGTGCTATGGCTGTTGCTTGCAGAAAGAAAACGTGCCAATACGGAACACCTAACTATAGTTAAGAGTATTTCTGGAAGTCTCTCATAACTAGAAAGAGGAACAGAACTGCAATCTCACTCTTACCGTTTGCCTGAACTACCCTGGAATTAATTAAAATGCACACGGTTTTGCATAAAATCCAAAATAACTAAAATCTTTATGCACAATCTGAAAACAACAATTTAGAGAAGTAGTTGCTCGTTTTGTTGTGGCAAAATCTTTTTAATTGGATGGAGCACAGTGACAGTAAACCACACAGAGGACTTGAAGCAAACTTACGACTTCTTAAGATGAATTCTTTACTTATGAATCTTATTCCCAACTTCCTTACTCTCTTAAAAATCAGAAAGAAACAAGAAAACTGCAGGTAATTTCAGTCTTCATTATTCAGACTGACTTAACTGACAACTAAGTAGTCAATAATTACTTATCTAATGGTCAACCAAGAGCTGTCAGAGAAAGCAAATACTACGCAACACTTCAAAATAAAACACAGGCAACAAGTGTTACTAAATACTAACAGTGGATACAAAAGCACATGGCATTAGCATGCCTCCAGTGGCTTTTGGTATGTTTCTATCAACCCAAGTTAAAAAATCTCATCTGCTTCCCGCAGTTGAAGCATTTCAACATCTGTCAACCAGTTTGCAAAACACTCCTTTCAGTTCAATCAAGCTACCAGATGAGACTATGGGATTTCATGAACTGAACAGATCCAGCCACCAGCTTCCCCAGTGAAACTGCTGTCCTTCCTCTTCTATCAGATACCACTAATGGCCATCACATTTACCTCACCTGTAGCTCAAGAGCCAAAGTTGCTTTCTATTCCATTTGTATAGTACTTCAAGGCAGAAAAGAAATTTGCCTCTTTAAAAGAGAGATTCTTCTTTTCCTCATTGAGCTTAAACACATCTGTTAGGCAGTGTGAACAAACTGAAGTTCAACAGCAAACCCTCAACCTACTGCACTGCTTTTGTGGACATTTTACTGCTCATTGCCTTTCACCTGTTGTAACAGCAGCTGGAAGAAAGCTGAGGATGTTCACTACTAAATGAAAGCACAGCAATGAATTATTTGCAGAATATGCAATCTGGTAATAGGAGACTTAGTTTATTACCCAGTACTTATTTATCAGCAGTTATAATCAAAATTAAAGATTTTAATTCCAAAGAGCACAAAACCTTCTGGCTGAACTCTTCAGAGAGAAGTTTCTACTGAAACCTTAGTTTATATTGTAGACCAATGTGGAAACATACTGGTCCCAGTCCTGAAAGATCCCATTAAAAGAAACAATACAAAAAATACTATACAGAAGATTAAACCATGCTTATGTAAGCATGCCACTGCAATATTACAAAGTATACATTACATGACCTGACTATAGTTATACCACCTGATTTTCTGAACAGCAATCACCATTATCACCATTCTTGAGGGCCAATCTCTAACAATCATTACTTAAGCAACATATCTAGTGAGAGACAACATAGATTATTTTATTACAGTACACAGAACACAGCTTAAGATCTGCTTATAAACCGATCACTGAAACACTTCTGTATACAGCAAGAATGCACAACTATGGATTTTTAAGAAAACCAGTTATTAGATATAGTAGATCAAATACCACATCTTTGATTCCCAGACTTACCTCAGCCCATTTAAGAATACAAGTCATGCAGAAGGTATGGCTACAGTTCTCAGGAAAACCAATTTCTTGTTCCAGAAGGCAGTTCAGACAGATGGGGCACTTGTCACCTTCATCAGATATGAAAGCAGTAGAACAGGAACAGCATTCTTCATTTTCTTCACCTAGGATTAACACTGACACTTTCAGCTTTCAGCTGTCTTTGAAACAGAGTCACTGCAGATTTGAATAACAATTTAAGCTAAAATCGTGCAGTTAAAAAGCAAATTAATAGATATTCAGGTATAATGCAGTCAAGGTGCTGGCCAGAGAAGCAGTTAAAGAAATAAAAAATATATTTGCACAATGTATTTCATAGAGTAGAATCACCATATCAATATTTTCATTAAAACAAATGAAAGTTCTCTCTCCAGTTATTTACATGAGGAAAGAATCACTGATTTCCTACTTATTGCTAAGTCACTTAGTCATTCTTTTCCTAAGAGTTCCTCAGAAGTTTGCACTTTCTCTCCATGAAATAAATTACATCAGCATACCTCATAAACATCCTATATACACTCAGACTCCAATTTTTAGTTTTCCAGTTTTTAGTTACTAAACATCCTCAAGTATTTATCTAATCATGTACATTAGAAATGCTCCTACTTTTGCTAAAACCCAAGGCATTCTTCATGGAATTTTACTTTAAATCCATTATTTTTCTGAGTAACAGCCACCTCCATTTTCTTTTTGATATTAGCAATTAAATAAAAAAAGAAGTCATGGGAAAGGATTTGGGAACCCCACTAGGTAAAAAAAACACTTTGCTGGGATAATCAGTGCTTACATACCTTCTTTCATAGCCAGCACAATAACAATTAGGCGAGAATACATGTAAAATCTGACTTTCACAGCTTGGACCTGGAGGACATACTTTAATATTTACATGCATCGATATTACCTTCTGTATCTTCATGCTCCTGGCTCTCAGCATCTGGAATATGTTGCTTTCTGTTCTTCATTTTCTTAGAAAATGTTGTCTGGAAAACATAAGCCATGCATACACTGCATTTAGAACACAAGCTGAAAGCAAAAATGGGCAATGTGAATTCAATGCGGAATTACTAGTGCTCTCCACGTCAGTAAACACGCGCAGGGTAGAAATGCTCGATGTAAGGAGTTCGGTGGCAGTCACTGACAAATCTATTTGCAAACAAGAATTTTTAATGCTTTCTGAATGAATGAAAAACTTCAGGTTGGGAGTATCAAAACACTACAAAAACTTTGTGGTTTTAAGACATTTATTTAAGTGCTTCTATTTTGAAAAGCTAAATGTATTGCTAAGCTTCTACGCAAACCACACCGCAGTGATTAACCTCTGCAAATCGTCCCTCATAAAATGTTGGAGAAGGAAAAGAAATCGAACACGCAAAAACCAGAAAAGCCAGTTACTTTCAGTGCCTACAACCACAGTGGTAGGGGCAGGTGAGAAAAGTGAAGAGCAGCTTGTGTTTGCTTGCTTCAGTTCTGTCAAATAATTACAGCTATTAGCAGTCAGTAAAGAGTACAAGGAAAGTGGAATATTCAAAAGAGACACGTCACAAGCACAGGCACAGCTAAGAATCATGAAGAAAGAGGATACACATTTGAACCACTCTCCAAAGGAGTAGTGTCAAGGCAGATAGCAAGGATACAGACTATCCTTGGGATGCATGTTATATAGGGTCAGAGAAATTTGTATCATACAAGAAACAGCAAGAGTATGTTCGAAATAGCTTGCTTACCACATGCAAAGTGCAAGCAGCTACAAAGCAATGACACCAAGGAGTGAATCTCCTGCCTTTCAAATGCCTGAAGTCACAGAAGAAACTACTTGAGCACCTAAAACTCCAACCCCACAGCCCTAGAGGGACCAGCAGTTCTACTCAAAAGTCCAAACAGCTCCTTTACCTACAGATGAGCTAAAACATCACAAGGGATCAAATAAGTCAGGAATTACCTAGATTTGTTACATAAACATTCAAACCTGAAGCCAGGTGAGTGGTGTTTCAGGTCTCTCTAATACCTTTGTTAGGAAAAGCACGGAGAAAAACAAAGTCCTTTCAGCAGCAGCAAAGAGCCAGAACGCAAGGATCACCCTTGCGAACTCAATTTTTACCTCTAACTGCACTGTTCTCTCTACCTGGGTATCTAGGAAGGGGTTACACAGTGTTTACCCTCCAAAACTACTTTGTATCAACTCTTTACTACTTGTTCTTGGCAGCAGGAAGCATTTTAGTGATCACGTCTCTTTGAGGAAAGGAACACTCCTGCAAACATGCCCATTACGTAACATTTCTCGCTTTCTTGGGCAATCTAGGACTCTCATCCCTGAGTCACAAACACAGAGGGTTCATTAACGACATGCTCAAACTGTGAATCTAATCAGAAAGCTGTAATTAGACTTCTAAATGACTTCAGCCTATCCACTAGAAACTACCTTACCAACCTCCAAAGGAACCTGTGAGTCAAGTCAGGGGTTGGTGGGAAGGAGAGAGAGAACATGAAAACTTAGCAATATAGGGGTAAATTCCCTTACTCTATTTGATATGAAAAATCTATTGATAGGAAAAATGGCATAGAAGTTATTTAAAGAAACATACAAAATTAACATAACTGTTTCAAACACCCTTTCATGGCAAACGCCGGGCTCACAGCTGCCAAACACACGTGCATTAGGATAAGCGGTACCAACTCGGGAGCAATTAGTAACACTAAGGGCATTCCCCATAACCCAATCAGTATTAACACAGGTTACATACAAACTCTTAAGAAAACAACCACCGAGCAGTGGTCGAACTTAAAATTCAAACTTACAATACGAGATCAAGTCCTATTATTTTTACTCCGGTTTGCAAGAAGACTTCTAAAGCCTTTGGGCGCAAAGCTACTTACATCAAGGAGGGGTGGGTGGGAAAGTGAGCATTAAAATAAACAAACCGTGCGTCCTAAATCTTACGGAAGCCTCAGCAATCCTCTACAAAGGCAGAAAAATGTGCAAGCTAGGCTCAAACGCCTAGACAAACTTCACAGCTCAGCCTAGCTAAAGAAAAGGCCCCGAGAGCTGTGCTCTGCGGCTGAGGACCGACAAGGTTTTGAGGAGCCACCAAACTGCAATTAGAAGTAGTAGTAGAGTTCATTAAAGATCTTGAGATCAATAAGGTAGTTTGCAGAAAGAGGGCCTTGTAGAACCTCTTTGTATTAGTAATTTCTAAAAGAAAATATAACCTTTATCTATTATACTCTATTATATCAAAGACATCTCAGGAACTCTTGCAGAGTTACAGTAAATAATGAAACAGAGATCCTAGGAGTCTAATATAACATCAGTAAATCCAAGATCTGCAGCAACTAAAAGCATTTGTGTTGCATTACATCCCTCCTTATAAATTTGTTACTCAAACAGATACTGAGTGCCTTTAACACACTTAAGTTAACATTATTTTTGTCAGTCTGACACTATATTTCTCACAAAGCAGCATAGGATTTTAATTTTACTACTACTGAAATAAAGACCAAGATGTTAAATATCTACATTTTGATAACAAACGAACCTTAGAAAGACTATTTTCCCCACTAATTTAAAAAGGATGCTAAAAGCAGTGGAACAGTTAGAGAATTAACACTAAAATTTTATAAGTAAATCAAAAACCAGGTCTTAAAAAATAGAATACTTTAAGAGGAGAAAATGGCACAGAATATTAAGAGTTTTATTTATTCGAGAGTGTGATACACTGCTTTAGATTCCTCAGCTTCAAGAAGATTTCTATTTCCCAAGTATTCTTTACAGCTGCACACTACATTAGAAATCGCTATTCTTGGGTACGGGCAGGAGCTGGAAGGGGTGATATCGATTTTCATTTGCTTCTACCAGTTATGATTTCTCATGAAATGCTCCAAGCCCCAGCTTGAGACAAATATGGCAAATATATATCTGAAAAAAAAATCAATATGCAAAGAATAGTTGCACTGAATTCCATTTTTTTAAAACAAAACCAACACGCAGCAAGCTGTTGTAGCTACAATCATACAGGTGATATGAAATATTAAAAAACACCCAAATGCACAAATGAAAGACACTTGACAAGTCCGCACACTATGCTGGCACTCCAAAATGCACCCCTCATTTTCATTACACAAAAAATATGATTTTATATTAATATATAATAATTTAGCATATAGGCTAGAAATACAGATTTAAGGTTTTAACACTGATGCACAGAACATGCAGAAAGAAAAATCTTACTGTTCAGTCATGCACCTGAACTTCCTATTAAACTAGAAGTCTATTGTACTAAAATCTTACAATCAAATAGACACAGAAACATCACAGCATGAAAATTTACAAACAGGAAAGTGGCGCCACAAATATTGCTTTTGGCACATGCCAAGTAAAAGCAATCAAGAACACATGCAACAAGGAAACCTCCAGTAAGGAAGTGCAAGATGATGTCAAGATTGGTTAATTCTTTCAACTTCAGGGTTTAACTCGGAGAATATTTCTATGTAGCCTACCAATTTCTCCAGGTACCTGTTGCATCAATACTTCATTAGGAACCACTTGGTCTGTTTCTACAAAATCTTTTCAGATTTCTTGAAAACGATTTGGGGCATTCTATTAGCCCTGTTCTGATTTGTTAGCTCAGGTTTAGCCAGCCATACGTTCAACATACACTAAGCATTGCATTTGCCTAATGAAAACTACATGAACTCTTTATTTCCACCAAACTTTTGGGCAGCAATTACAGTAATCAAGGGGTCTAAACTGACATATGCATTTTGCTGGTCTTTTAATAAACTTCAGAGAGATGTTTAAGAGTCTCCCTCAGCAAGCAAGTTGAGGACATCCCTCCCAAGCAGAATCACAGAACCAACGGGATGAGAAGAGTGCTGCACTTTGGGGAATAGAAATCTTTTTCTATAGGTGGTTTAAGCCTCTTCGTGTAGATCCAGTGGTTCACCTGTGCTATTCAGGCAAGGAGACGCTGCTGATTTAGAGTCCTTCCAAGCTCTGCAACGATGGCAGTTACCTAGCCAAGGGACAGCAATATGACCAAGGCATTGCTGGTGACAGAATGGGGAGGAGGAAGAGAACGGGACTGTCTCTTGTCACTGCAGCAAGTTGCTGCATTAGCTTAATCTCTCTTCTGAAACTGCCCCTCTCAAGGAGGCAGCAGGCCTGGATTGCCTGTGAACTCCATAAAATCGCAAGGCAAAGCCACAAGATAAAACTGTTGAAGCCAAATAGTTAAAATTCTGCCACTGTAAAGAGCACAAGCCCTTTCGCCTACCTTCAAACCTAGCAAGAGGATTTTCATTGCGCTGCAGACACAAGACACAAGAATCCCAACCAAACAAGCTCTGCATCATAACTATCCCTACTGGGAAAAGGGTGATGTACGCTAGGTGCTAAATCAAGTATTTTTATATACTGCCAATAAGACACTTCAGTATTGCAGTGATTAACAGAAACAAAACAGTATGATGTACTTTACTTTCTCATATGGCTGATCATAACATTCTCAAATGCAGGAGTCAGTGCTTAGGTGTTTCTTTTAGCACTCAGTGACTAAACTGTGTGAAATGGAGATTCAGAAATAACAGGAACTAATTAGGGATTAGAAACTATTGTCATGGTGCCTGTGGCTCAATCCAAACTAAACCAAATCAGCATAAACACATGATCCTGTCTTCAGCTGCAGAAGGGTCCCTAGTCACACACATACTTGTGCAGCTGGAGGGGAGAGTGTTACAGGACAATGTCAGCAAAAATTGTTCAGGGATTTCCAAGAATAGCTGGGGAAAAAAAAGATGTTTTTTCTCACATTCATTATGATTTTTAGCCGCTTGAAAACATCAATACTTTCTTGCTTTCCAGCAAAAAGTAGAAATTTGGCAGTGGGTCACTGAGATCAACAATATGATTCCTGCAGATGCAGCCCTTCCAAGTCCGGCCAAATCACAGATCTGAAAAAAGTAAAGTTCATACTTACTCAACAAA